TGACAAGCATATGCTCTTATTGTTAAAACTTTTGTCCAGAGAGCAGTTTCATCAAATTCTTACTAGTACTTAAATTTAGTGTGCTGCATGTTAAATATTTGACTCCTGCTGTGGGGGCATAAAGCCTGAAGCTTTAGTCAAAAGTTTCATCAGAACTAAGAAATGTGAGCTATTATGACATGATGGATGACTTTGAAAGCTTTATCTTTTATAACTGCTTTTTAACTTACTAAGTTTTCTGTTTGTTATTCCCCCAAAAATAGTAAATAGTAAAATAGTAAAAATCTATGCAGTGTGCTTAAGCTCTTCTTCAGATACTGTTACAATATTTTTCCAGTGTAGCAGCAATATAGACAGCTGAACTCTTAAACTGGAGATTTGGCATGTATGTAGCTCTTAGTGTACAGTGTGTACTTTGTAATTTGGAAAAGATTAGTATAAAAGGACAATTGAAAGTCCATATGATATCATTTATGGTGTGAAATACTGGTTAACATCATCACTCAAGCTTAACATGCTACAGGCACACTGAGTAGCTTCAAGGGACACAGACAGATCATTAAAGTTGGCCAACATAACTCCAGTTGTTTCCAGGAATCCATACACTTGACAAAAACAGTGATGACTGCTGCTCTTGTACTAGAGATAGAGGGAGGGTTTTTACACTGTAAGAGGTCCCAAACAGGAAACTCCTACCTGAACAGAACAAGATGCAAGAATAGGGTATGCAGTTGCCAGGGGAATCAAGTTTAACCCAGGGATTCTAGCCTGAGGTATATATTGGCATGTTTGTGTATCAGCTTGTAATGGGCAGGTAACACTTACTCTTCTCTTCCTACAACCTTAGATCACCTGTAATTTTGACCACTTGTATAAACTTTAGTTTCCTTTCAAAGATATTTCTAACTATTAAATCTGTGTCTCTGAAGCATCAGCAAAAAGCATCAGCTTTTATGTAAAGCAACTTTATATAAGATTTGTCAGAACAAAGTAAAGAAATTAACAGTTGGCTTCCTGCTATCTGGTTTATAACTTTTATAAAATCATTATATCCATTGCTACAATTGAATCTTTTTTACAGTGTTCTGAAACTGTAGTTTTTTCATGGCACTGATGATGTATACTTTGAATTAAGCTGCTTAGCTACTGCTTTCATCTTTAGTAGATGGTGTTTTCTTTTGCTGTGGACTTGCAAGATTTAAGTATCTTCCATGAAAGCTGAGTACTTAAAAAGGATAAAATGTTGGCATGTTGATTAGTAGTAATGGAAAAAGCCATAAAACTTTTTTCATTTATATCAAAGCTTTCAGCTTCCCCTTGTAGATAGCAATCAAAGGAAAACTGGAACAGCTCAGATTGACATGTGGAAAATATGAAGTATTCACTTAGTGTTACATAACTTCTGATTGTGCTATGAGGAGTAAAAGAGGTAAGAATTCAGAGTAGGCATAATGCCTTTCTTCTGGCAGTACCTGATCTGTCACTCTCCCTGTTTAACCATTCTTGTCACATGTTTAAAACCAGGTTCTAAAGTTTCCACATCTCTAGCTTTTCAGGTAGCTTGAGTATAATTTTCAAACAAACTATCACCACTCCTCACTTTATGTAACCTAGTTTCTCACTAGTTCAAAAATCGGAACAAAAACTTTGCCATAATTAAGTCAAACTGCACAGTAGTAAAGACAATTTGAAAAACTAACAGGTTTAATAATAATGCTTTTAGTGGCAATGTTTCCTCATGTGTATAAGCATTTTTTATTTCCTATCTCTGTATAAGCCCTGTAGTGATACCCCAAGACCATTTAAAACCTCTTGAAAAACTCAAGATTTGAACACATGGTAAAGCACTCCAAAATAAAGTAAATATTCTTCAGGAGAAGTGATAAAATTCCATCCGATTACTTCTAGGTTCCCCAAACAATGGGGGCAGCAATTTAATATTCAGCCCAGTTGCAATCTTCACATATGGAATGCACTTAGTATTAACTGAGGAAAATTTTTGCCATTTTTTTTTTTCCTTTATATGCTTGTCAAGAAAAATTTAAAATAGCCACACTTGCAGAAGTCTTTAGGGTTCTTACTCTTACTGCCTTCCATATTTACTTTTTTTTTTTTTAAACATGGGGAGGGAGGAGATAGAGTAACCTTTAAAATGGGTCTCTTGGTGGCATGATCATGGATGTAACTTCCTCTTTAAAAAAAACCCAGCAATTACCAGTGCTAAAAATAAATTAAGTTGTAGAAAAATAAGTTGTAGAAAGACAATTCCAACTGCAGAATGACTGACTATGACTTAGCATTGTCATTAAGCTACACTGAAGCAGAAACTGCCTGAATTTTCAGAAAGTGCAATGTTCATTACATTTCTAACCAACTAAAGAATTGTGGAAGAGATTAGCTTAAGCCTCTTTGTGTACCCACATGCATGTTAGAATGGCAATTGTAACACAGTATAGACAGTCAACATATAAATGACCAGCCTAAATTATCTGCCATCTTTTGACTGGAATATCAGAGCATACCAAGTTCTGACCTTTCTACGAATCCTGTTTCTTCTTCAAACTGCTGTACTATGCTGTAATATGTTATCTACTGTATGGCCTTGTCTGTACATGTAATTAAGATTTTGTGGGTCGGATCACTTTTGTAAGATCTCTGTAGGTTCTCTAATGTGCAAGAGTGTGATGCGATGTTTCAGGTTTTTTGGGATGTTTTGGGATCTTTCTCCTTTGCACAAATACTTTACTTTCACACAAAATAATAGTCAGTTATGTCCAAGACTGCTGCTCTTCTATAAGTTTGAACAATTTAGTTGAGTTCTGCCAAATGTTACTGGGGAGACAAATTAAGGCTGTGATCACATAGGCCTTGTTTCCATAGGAAATAAAAATAGCCATGAAAAGTAGTTTGTCAGCTAATTACCAGGTTAGGAAGGAGAAAGATGATGACCAACTTCCTCATAAACCATTTTCAAGATGGTAACCTTTCTGGTAGCCTCTCAGAAAAGGGCTTACCCACCCTTTACTATTATTACCATCACTATATGTGAAGAATGTTGTTGTGCTGCTTCGGATGCTAAATTTAAGTAAGGAAGGTGCAAGAGGACTGTCTGTCACCCAAGAGACAAAAATGCAGCAGCTTCCTCTGAGGCTGTGAATTTGAGCTAGCTTTTCTAGTCTGCTTCTCATCTTGGCTATCTAATAACCAAAAGGCGTGATTAAAAAAAGAAGTCATGATACTTTCCTCACAATAGGCAGTATTACCTGAGCTCTCTTCCTTTTTTCTTCAATGAGAAAAGGGGTATCTTGATTATTTTAGACTAGTTTTGGTCCAAGCACTGAGGTACTTGTCATCTTGTGCAGAATATTGCACAAAATTTTACACCTTAATCAGATCTGAATAGGGGAATGGGTTGGTCCATTATCCTGATCTGTAACTAAGGCACCATAGCACCACTATTACAAATAGTCTAAGAAAATAAGTATTATTCAGTCAAGTTTTTGAAGTAAAGCCAAAGATACAGGAATTTTCCATTCCCCTTAGAAGAAAAATAGAGAACAGAATACTGGAATTTTTAGATTGGTAAATTTGGAGTTGGGAATTACTAACACCAGCCAAAATGTAGCAATTGCCTCTATCCAAGTAATTCAGATAGGTTGAAATTATAATCTCCTGCAGTATAAATAGCTGCTAATATCTGGCCTTTCTGGGCTGAAATCAATAGCAAAAAGTCTGAAATTTACATTTTGATCTGAATGTAAATGGCTTTACATGACTTTCTTGTTCAGCATTTGTAAGCAACTGATGGTAGCTAAGTTGATTTTCCATTAGAAATACTGCAAGTGCATTCTGTGCTTGCCTGTCAGGTTTCTCACCGTAGCTTCCTCATTCCTTGTCTTGGTTGCTGACCCATGCAGGGCAGCTTCTAACAAAGGTCCACACTAGTGGAGGTTAATTATGCTGTAAAATCTTGTGCTCACATAATTTGTTTTGTTTGCAGAAAAAGTAGCTATGCTTTCAATGATATAACCCCTTTCCTCCAACTCACTAATATCAATAAGTATTGCAAAAGTAACAGGTTTAGGCTGAAGGAAGTTTGGACTGCTTTTCAGTGTCTTCAGGGGAGGGCAACAAAGGGCAGAGAAAGTGAAACATGGACCCCATTAGCTGCAGGCATTGAAGTTTACTGGTTTTAAGAATTCCGTTCATATGGATTGATTCCTAGTGAGTGAAGCATAAACTGACACACTGAGTAGTGAAGTCTGAACATCTGAAAAAGGAGTATTTAAGTCACCTTGCTAACAACTGTGGGGCTCTGTGTGATGCCTTTAACTTCAAAGTCCATTGGAGGTTTTCTCTTTGCAATTAAAACACGAGATCACAATTTACTCCATCAGAGTCTTCCAGCAAGTCCAAAGAAAATAGAAATAGCAGGCATACTAAAGCTTAAGTTTAAAAATGCCACACAAACCATGCCCAGAATCCCCAGCAAGATCACTCTTAATGCTGTACCAACAAGGAGAAAACTTACTAGGTCATCTCCATTAATCATAATCTAGATAAAAAAGCAAACCCACCATAATCTTTGGCTGAATAACTTCAAATCTATTATATAAAAGTTCCCATGTAGAAATCTACATCTGAGTATGAGGCATGGCATGACAATTCAGAATTCTTGTGTTCATAACACACTATTTCACTTACTTCCTGCTGAAGTACAACTTGGGTAGAATATTTTCTCCAAAGAATCCTCATTTTTCTACCTCTGTCAAAAGACTATTCACAAGCTCCAGCAATTCTTACAGTAGGAAGAACTGTTAAGTACTTCGAAGTGCTACTTCCAAATAAACGTTTAGTAGAGCCATAACCATTATAGTAAAGGGGATAAAAGACTTACATCTATACTCTGATATTTAAAATACAGTTTAAAATACAGCAATAAAATTACTGGATAAATGCTATAGCATACTCTCTGAAATGGATGGGGGGGAAAGAGTTGCAGTTTTCTCTCAAAGTAACTTTATAACTGCTTGTGTTACAGATTGCCCTGAAATATGACCCCCAGATAGAAGAAGATCTGCGTAACTGGATAGAAGAGGTTACAGGGCTGAGCATTGGTGCAAACTTTCAACTGGGATTAAAAGATGGCATAATCTTATGCGAGTAAGCATTTATGAAGTAACCTTATTTTTAGCAGTTTTCCACTTTTGAAGAACTAAGAAGGGACTTTCTGAAGACTCCCCTTCAAACACATCAACAATAATAGTCAAAGATAGCTGATAGTAGGGTGGAAGAGAGCTTCTTTGAAACTGTGGAAAAGAATGAAAACTTAAATCTCCTTTATATTTGAACAAAAATTTCTGAGTATTTCTAAATTTAACAGTGAAGCTCTTTTCTATAATAATCAAATGACACACAAAAATTCTTATGGTCTGTTAGACTTTTTAGACCTGAGACCTGAGCTAGGCACTCTGTATAAACCAAAAAATTAACCATTTTGATGAAACTAATGCAACTAATAAAGCATGAGTGAAAATATTCTGTAATGCCTGCACAGATGGTATAAGGATGAGATTTATTGTTTAAGCATTTCCCTTTTTTTCACCTCCCCAGGCTTATAAATAAGCTGCAGCCAGGATCAGTGAAGAAAATTAATCAATCAAAACTAAATTGGCACCAGGTAAAACAAAAAAACCCCAAAACTACACCTCTAACCCCTAAACAGTTTTTTTGTTCTGTATTAACAAATTCGCTGTGAATGTGGTACACCTTAAATCTTAGTAGCACCAAGTTATGTTTGATGCATACACAACAGCTGAGGATACTGCATACATTAACAGCATTTAACAGGAAGCAACTATAGGTGAGATGGCTCATAAATGGCAGTTGAGTATACATATTTAATAGTAGTGCTTTAGCTGTTAGGTGAAATTTCAGATGGAAGAAGAAGAACATAGAGTCCTACAGCAAGGCCTTTTTCCAAATTTAAAAAAAAAAAAAAAGTTGTTTTTTATTAAATTACAACTGGAGTTTTCTATCTAGGCAGTGCTGCAAGGTGTTAGGTCAACAGCTTGCCTGTACCTGGGCATCACTGTATGAAGTGTCTTGAGAAAGAAGCTGGAAAGGATGGGGAGGTAAAGGACCTGAACAGTCTCAAAAATGGTTGTGTAACAAAACTCAGAAAACAATATGGTACAAACTACATTATATATTTTATTTCAGTATATCCAGATTCAATTTCTGATGAATGCTCTATCTAGCATTTGTCCCCTACAAGGGACTATGAAAGGCAACATGCATTTAGAACAAATATTGCAAGGGTTGCTTGTTAGTTGACTGCCTTTACTGTTGCTGGGTCCGGCTTAATACTGCTATGTCAGCCTCTTGGTTTTGTTGGCTTTGAACACTTCTAAATACAGTGAAGGATTTTTATTTTTTAAAAAAGTTTTAATACCTCTTAAGACTGCAGAAGGAAAGATGAGATTCAGTCCTTACTCCTTGTACTTCATATTGCTTTCCAATTTCTACAGCGCGCAGTGCTATAAAATGCTAATAAACCCCAAATGCTTAGTTGAGTTTGTCCCAGGAGGTGAGCAAAGTAATACTTTCAAGCTAAGTTAAATGTTCTTACTATCCACATAGTTATGATTTTATTTTACTCAAAATTATCAGTTACTAAAGTCAAATAGCACAGACACTATATTGAATTTTCCAATTTGAAGCTGGTTTTAGATTAGTATTTCTCTGAGAAGGGACAGAGTTGAGGCAGTTTGGTCATCAAAGCCCTCTCTAACAAAGTACATGGTACTCACTGATGGAGAGATGCCAGACTAGGCAAACCCTTAGATTAATTTCTAAAGTCAATGTTAAAACTGAGAAATAATCTCAGACTTCCCACCAGTCACTCTTAACCATGCCAGCTGTTTTGTCGAGTTTGCACAAGGCAAGGGACTTGTGTAAAACAAGCAAAACAAACCAACCAACCAACACCAGAAAGCTTTAAAATTACTTAGTTTCTGAATGGAAACACTGAGTAGAAAACTGGCTTTTTTGTTTCTGTTTAGCTGGAGAACATTGGGAATTTTATCAAAGCTATCCAAGTGTACGGCATGAAGCCACATGATATTTTTGAAGCAAATGATCTCTTTGAAAATGGAAATATGACTCAAGTACAGACTACCCTAGTGGCGCTAGCAGGTCTGGTAAGTATTTGTACCCCTGGAATTGGCACAAATCCACATGCCAATCCAGATGCACCCTTACCACTCATGTAAATACAGAAAACAGCATCCAGCCTGTCAGGAGGGAATAGATACTACTGTGAATCTGAGATACTGCAGAGGGCTGTGTCCTGCCACATGCCTCCAGGGAAGGCTTGGAGTTCAGAGTTAGGATTCTTGACTGCAGATGCCTTGCTCTGGAGCTGCATGTGCATACACAGAACCGGGGAGGCTCACAGGAGAGCACCCTTCTGACAAGATACTTGAGTAGCTTTGAAGTGCCACTTTCCAATGGCATGGGGAACTGTTGCCTTCTCTTGCCCCTGGCACAGAGTTTCTTGTAAGAGAGAAATCTGCTTGTGGCATCACTTGAGGGTCCAAGGTCAGGGCTGTAAAGCCAGTGTTTCAGTAGCAGAAAATATACTTTAAAAACTGAATACTTTATTTTTCCTCTCCCTAAATAGGCAAAAACTAAAGGTTTTCATACTACAATTGATATTGGTGTCAAATATGCAGAGAAACAAGCACGAAGTTTTGATGCAGGAAAACTAAAAGCTGGTCAAAGTGTAATTGGCCTGCAGGTAAGTACGAAATTCAAGTTTGCAGTTAATCTGTTATATTTGAGAACTTCCCTGTTTTGATTAATTGATCTATTGTTTATGCAAAACCGGCTGCAAAATTGTAATACGTTCTTATCATGGAAGGAGATACAAGGTTTTAATTCTTGTAAGCAGTTGATTTGCTTTATAAACTCAAGTGACTGCTTGGAAGGTTTTTCTGTTTGTTTTAAATCTGCAATAAGAGTGATAAGGAGGAAAAGAACAACTAATATTAGCAGTTTCACCTCTGTCCTCTGAAGCGGTTTTAAAGTAGGAGTCTTTGGATAGCTAAAGCTCCTTATATGGTGGAAACTTTTTTTCTTTCCACTTTACTTAATAGTCATAAAACCCAAAATAACAGGCATAAAATATCTTAAAATTCCTGCAGTAGAGAAGTTGTGGCAGTGTAATTGAATCATTACTGTCCAAGGTAAAAGTTAGTATTACATTCTGATGCATACATCTATTCTAATTGTAGCACAGTTGGGCAGATGCCAGTCACTGAAATGCCTTAGGATGACAGTTGCCTTTATTTTTCCTTTTGAAGCTCAGTATGGAGAGAGTAATTTATTACAGGTAGTGGTCAAACTACATGAGGAAAGCATGCACTGTAATTACTTTTTCTGTCAGCCATCACAGTTACCAACCATATTTGTTTCCTTAGACTGTGCTTACTGTACAAATAAAAATCACTTTTTCTGTCCACCTCTTCCTTCCCCCAACAAAGATGGGCACCAACAAGTGTGCCAGTCAGGCAGGCATGACTGCTTATGGAACTAGAAGACACCTCTATGATCCAAAAATGCAAACTGATAAGCCATTTGACCAGACGACAATTAGCCTACAGATGGGCACTAACAAAGGAGCCAGTCAGGTAAGCAGGACTGCATGTGACACTTGTGGAGCAGATACAGCTCTCAACCTGGGAGAGCCTGGTGCGATAGGAGCGAGTGCCTGTGAGTTGTGTGCAGCAGCAGAGAGAGGGTACAGTTCAGCTGTGCTTTTTTACAGTAATTGAAGAACTTGAATTTTTTATCACTAACCAGCGTGTTCTGTGCTGAGTATCTTAAGGCATAAAAATGACCTGGTGCTTCTATAATTTCTGGCTGGCTGTGTTACACCAGAAGAAAACGGTAACTTCATTTCAAGTACTAACTAGAGAGAAGCAAAAGAGAAATTGCTTCCTGGGCACTACCTCAGTCCAGACACTTAGTGTATTCTTTCCAAAGAGGAAACTAAACTGGACCTTTCCACAAGGACTTTCTTCTGTGACTTACCTACTGGTGAATATATGCTGCTGTGCTGTGTTTTGTTATACTTTAACCCTACTTTCTAGCACTTCTAGGAAGGCGTACTTGTTGTAATCATAAATCTAGTAATCACAGCTCTTGACCTTCCTACTGAACCTCTACAATCCTGTTTTCTTAGGCTGGTATGCTGGCACCAGGTACCAGGAGAGACATCTACGATCAGAAGCACATATTACAACCTGTGGATAACTCAACTATTTCATTACAAATGGGTACCAACAAAGTAGCTTCACAGAAGGGAATGAGTGTGTATGGGCTTGGACGACAAGTGTATGACCCCAAGTACTGTGCTGCGCCAACAGAACCCGTCATTCATAATGGCAGCCAAGGAACAGGAACTAACGGGTCAGAAATCAGCGATAGCGATTATCAGGCAGAATACCCAGATGACTATCACGGAGAGTACCAAGATGACTATCAAAGAGATTACCATGGTCAGTACAGTGACCAGGGCATTGATTATTAGCCTTGCATCAAAAGTTCAGTATTAGTCAATTATTTTATTCAGTAAGAACGAAACTAGCCTTGTGGAATTGTTACCTGTCTTTCCTACACACTATGCTTAATGTACCTTAAGAAATATTGCCTTACATACATTCCTTTTTCCTTTCTCTGCCCTTTCCCTGTCTAGTTGCCTTTAGTGCTGTAACAGTTGTAGTCTACAGCATAAACAATAACTGCATATGAAGTAAAAGGAATACTGTGAAAGGGGGAGTGCTGTTGTACAGCCAGGTTGTCTAATAAGGAGCTATGCATTTTCACAATCTCTACTTATGTAGGTATTTACATACCACATTAAGCCTTCAATTTTACATATTTACAGCTTTTCTATTTTCCAAATGAGATAGAAGAATTTCATGCTTAAAGATAAATGTGGTCTTTGCCAGTTAAATCAAAGACATTGCATTAGTGATTTAAATATCATCACTATGTTTCTAAGGCATTGTTTGCTAATGGTAAGTCCTGCATTAGACATAAGTGTGGATTTGTGATTGTGTATTCATTCCATTATCAACACTGACCAAACTTAGAAATAGTTGTCTTACTAAAAAGGGAGCTTGTACAAACTCTTGAGCCAACAGAAGTCCCATAGTCGATGGTGCATTTACCTTTTATTGTGCCATAATATATCCATGTAGAAATGCTTTTTCTTCCTTGAACTGTATTTATTGCCACACTTCTCAAACTGATCCCAGTGTATTTTTATAAATAAATATTTTTTCTTAAAGGTATGTAGAAGATCCTGTCTCATTTATTATGCTACCGTTCTTAAAGATCAGATACCACAAAAATTTATTCCCAAATCAGCATCACCTTTGCCTGTGTTAAGGGTAACATAGAACTGTTGTCTGCTGCAGTTTGGGTTCTTTCTTTCCATGTGATTTAATCTAACAACCTTGTAAAAATCTCCTGGGAGTGAGTGACCGTGACTTAACAAGAAAGGAATGTAGCTCCTTGACAGCAGAGTTCACTTCCCCTCTACATCACTGTGAGGTTATGACCAGAGACGCTTAGCTGTTCACCAAATCCCTGCCCTCTTCTCAAGGCAAATGAGGAACTGCACATATTTAACACTGCCTCTGCTTCAGCCTATAGCCTTCAAACCATCACTTTGAGAACTCCAAACACCCTTGCTTTAGAGTATGTAAAGAAATATCCCAGTCTTTGGGCCTGCTGGTCTGCAATCTGAGTTCTTTAGTTACCAAGAGCAGAGCTTTGTTCTTAAATGGAAAATGCTTTCTTCCTCACCATGGAATGCAGACAGGCTGTACTAATTTACCTGGGATGTCTTTAACAGGAGGAAAAAAAAGAGCGTGCTATCAGTAGGGGCCACTGTTGCTGATCCCAACTTCTGTAAAAAAAACTAAAGGTATCTTAAAAGTGCAGCTTAAACTTACTTACATTAACATATGTTTTATACTTGCAAGTTCTGGACTTAGGAAGGATTCTTCCTTCAAGGCTAGAAATTATTTGTGCTTTGCTCCATTAGTTTGTTATCTCTGGGTGTGATGTGCTGACCTGACTTTCAACTAAGCTATCTGTTGAATAAGTCTTAAGCTTATTTGTTTCACAGAATTTAAATTTGAAAGGTCCTCTGGAGGTCACTGGTCTAAGCCCTGCATCCGAGGCAAAAGAATTATTACTAAGATGTCTGTTAAGACCCGCTTTTGCTGAACTATACTATGCCCCCCCTTCAAAATAATAGTATTTAACAATTTAGCACTAAGGTATTGAATGCTGAAAAGCACTGCTATGATCAACAACAAAAGCTTTGTTGCTTTCATGGTTTGGATGAAAGCAGGGTCTCTTTTTGAAAGCCTGAACCATGCCCTCCTGCTCTTTCTGAATCCAAAACTTAAACTTTAAGCTGTTTGCACACATTTATTACGTGTGTACTTGAACAGAGGAAACAAAACAACACACAGACTGTTCTTAGTATGCCTCTTTCATCCACAGAGGTATCCAGTGGAATCATAATTGCCTTAAGTGAGAGTCTGAAGTAGACATTGAGCAAGACCAAAAGCAAACTGCCTTGCTTAAAACAATAAGCTGTAATACTTAGCCCTTTCCTGCTATACAGACACCAGTAGTCCTCATCTCCTGTTTTTAAGGAATATAGTTATAAAAGTACCTTTCACTCTTCTGAATCCAGGCTTCCATAGCTGCAGGAAAGAAGAGTCCACACAGTATTGGATTGCTTTACAGGGCAGACGTTGAAATACCGTAAGTGGCTCAGACAAGCATCAGTACTGAACTAGCACTATGTATTCACATGAGTTGTGCCTACCCTCACCACCACCTCCTTCCAGCCTGCTTTATAGCTGCCTGACCACACTAACCTGCAGGGGAAGACAGCAACGAGAAAGGAGGGCTAAATAGCATCAGCTTGTGCAGGGGTGCTTTATCCCTCTAACTCAGGTGAGGACTCCTGCCACAGAGGAATGTGCTACACTTGGAGGTTGTTGACACAATTGCTAGTGGAATGTCTGTAAGATTGGGAAGTCCTGTGTTGCACCTGAAAGCTATAAAACTATGTATTGTGTACAAAATTTAATTAAAGGGTATATATTTGCAACTCTTGTAAAAATATACATGATTCTCAAAACATACTATCACAGTTGTAATTGGACTATGGGCAGTACAGCAGTGCTTAAATAAAACACTCAAATACTGCTTAATTGGGATTTTTCAGTACCTTCCTTCCATGTCTAAAAGTCCTTTCTCCACCCAGGAACTGCAGTGAAGGCAATGACACTGCATTGCAGTCAATAGAATTGTTGAGATTGGAAGGGACCACTGGAGGTCATCTAGCGACTGTCAGAAAATGAGGACATACTTATATAAAAATGTCCCTCCCTCTCTTCCACCAGAGAGTTCCTGACTCAGGGACTAAAACATGCAGTGTGAGTATCAAATACAAACAGGACAAAAACCAATGTGTAATAAGAATTCTTTTAGCTTCCCAGCAAACCTACTATGCTTTGTAAATTGGTAAACATAATTTTTACATTGTGAAGACACTACTACTTGGAAGTAATCTTACTGGAACCTGTGGCAGAGGAGAAGTTTTGCCCCTCTAAGTACCAGTACCTGCACACTTTCTTATGGTTATAGAGCTACTGCTTATTCAGCGTGATTTTCAGTTCCCACAGCATCCACAAGCCAAGCACCAGAAGTACCCAAGTGTACAGCTGTAAACAAGAAGCAGTGACGAGCAGTCAGTAGATGATCAGCTTCACCTGCCAGGCAGAAAGTAATTAATCTATTTCTTTCCCCTTTTCATCATCTATCCCATACTCCTCAGCGTCTTGAAGTGGCTCATATTGAAGTAGACAAAGTTAATTAAATGAATAAAAAGCAAGTACTTCTTAGCATTACCTAGCAGATAACTAGTTGCCTTTCAACAGCAGGAGATCAGATACACTATTTAGCTGAAACAGAGTCATCCTTCAGGCCACCACTGAGCTTTTTCTGTATGTCACTTCCAAGTTGTGACTAATCAAAGGTTTATCAATCTATCCATTATGGCAGCTTATGAGTCACTTACCTGCAGTAATGTCTCATTTCCTATACTGATGTGTACTTTACTGAAATCCCTGGCTGGAGTCATCTTGCCACCTCAAAATCTCTCCTCAAACAAAATGTTAAAGGAGCTTTTCAACAAAGAGAGTAAAATCATGTGCCCCTGAGTAAAATCTAAATCTACCTCATACTTGGAGGGGAAGCCCATGGAAGTGTATTATAACCAGGGTCCAGGTATAAAGTTTAAACAAACTTCGAAATTGCTCACAAGAAAATGCCGACGGACTGTTACCAAGTTATTTTTTAAGGAGTGTCTTATGTCCCTCTTCTGACTATGTCCACGACAGTTTCTTCACTACATTCCTCCATGATATTTTATATTTCACACCCATATTACAGCTAACATTTCTATAAACTATTTATAACATCCTTTTATCTCATTCCTGTCCAGCCACTGATCATCTGCTACTTCATCAAGCTTGAAATCCAGGTATAATTTTTTCTGCTTCCTTTGTCTTTTCAATTGCAAATGGAAGGTACTTGTTTATTTTTATTTACAAAAAAAAGGACTATTCCTCATCTGCACTTTGGAAAGGAGCCAGGGGAAAGTTTTTAATACTAACTTTGTTACTTTTTTGTAAAAAACATTCCCCAAAGAGTACAATTAAAAGAAAGACACCTTCCTCATAACCATTAATTATCTTGACTACAGAAAATTTCTCTCAATGTAATTTCCATCAGTGAGCTCACTACTGTTCCTTAACTGGTTGCACTGCCTGTTCAGATATACAGAGTAAATCAGGAAACAATCATCTCAGAGTGCCTCCTCTACAAATGTTTGTTTACTGATCCAGGGATGACTGGCACAGTGTTCTCAGAAGGATAAAAAAAAACCCTGACACACCAAAAAGCTAAAAAGGACAGCTCAGTGACATTGTTGACTTAGTATTTTCAGTCTTACAACAACGAAATTTACAAGGAGTTTGTTTATTGACAACTTTCAGACCATTGTAACAAGTGTATTAATAAAAATCAGATGTGCTGACACACAATACATTATTCATACAAACAGATGTATGTCATTTTACCAGTGCAGAAGGTACAACAGATTCAGAGAATACTCTGTCCTGGAGTATTGGTAACTTTTTTTTTTTTTTTTCTTATGACTGTTTTTGCTATTACTGGTCTGCCTTCATACTTCCTGGTGCAATTCACATTCAGGTCTACAAAGAGAAAAAAAAAAGAGTCAAATAATGTGCAACACTAATCCTGTTACTGCATTTAAATGTCGTAAGAGTAAGCTGGGAAAATAAGGTTCTTTCGTGTCTCAAATCCACAATCCTCTCTCAGGGAATAACCCTGCCCCACCCCCAGTTTCTGTGCTCAACAAAAAATTACTGAAGAATGCAGTAACAGACCAAATCAACCAAAAAAATCGAGTACAACTATCCCTCACTGCAGCAATAAACTGAAGTAAGTGGTGCTCTGCCTAGAGCAGAACACCCACAAGATTGCATGAGAGTTTGCTAAAGCCTGGTACCTCTTGAAAGCAGATGAAGAAAAATCACCATCTGTTACACTCATGTAAGAAGTAGCTAGAGGGACACCAGACACTAGTAGTGTCCAGCACACATAGGTGCCAAGTAGCTGTTGCTGCAGATTCTTTCTGCAGCAGCCTGGGCTTTGCCCCCCCCCAATGCTGGGGGGAAAATCAGCTTGGATCTGAACTTGCTGGGGCAGCTTCTCAGGTTGGGCAATTTGCAATATTTTTTCAGATGTCAGTGAGCATTTACTCAGGACTTTCCCAAGCCTGGGTGTGGGGGAACACTCCCTTCTGGCATCTCAGCTTTTTTTACCCCAGTGTAAAACAGAGTAAATAAGTATATACACTGATAGAAAAGAAAGAAAAAGGGTGGGGGTGGAGAGGGAAGGCCTCTAAGCTCTGGTCTTACAGCTCTGGAACTTCAGCAGTTCCAGCATGAAATCTAGCAGCCTACTTTTGACTTTCCTAGAGCAGACATGTGAAGGACCATCTGAACAGGATTTATCTCCTATCTCCCTGCCATTGTCCAATCTTTCTCTTCCTCTGCTAGGCACATTGGGGAATGGGGAGAAAGATGAAAACTAATATTTGATCCATCCATTTAGCATCAACAGAGGGTTTCCTGAGGAGGGAAAGGAATAGAAGTAAAAACAGGATACCAAGTACAGCACATTGGTTGCTGTGAAACATCAGGAGCTACATGACACAGCCTACATCCATTCTTCTTGCAGCGTAAAGACAAACACATTAGCTGGCAGAAAAATACATATCTCACAGTCCTATCTCACCATAGGTTGGAGCTCTGTTTCATCTTCGTTGTCCTGGAAAGGTGTCATGCTTCTGTGTTTTTGCCCTTCTGTTAACTTGTTACTCTGACTCACAAAAGTCTACAAGCAAGAACCAGGGTGAGATCATTTGGGAATGCAAACCATTATGTAAATAAAAATACCTGCTAAAGGAAGACAGTTAGCCCTGGGCTAAGAAACTGTAGCTGGTTCCTACCTGGATGACACTGAGTGATACCGGGAGGGACTCTGCAGAGGCAGCAAGGGTGATGAATACAACTGAGAAGGATGAATCAAGACTCTCTGTTACATCCCCTACTACAGGAATGAGGACTCTGGCTGGCTGAAATCCCTCACCCAGCTCTCCACCCACTGCTGCATATTGTCCTGAGGGCCAGGGAGCCTCCCTTCCACCCCCAGATGTTTGTAACATAGACGTCCCACATCACATGCCTTCATGTGTTGGAAAACTCCAAGTTCTTGCCTACATAAGAAAACTTTATCAGGCAATGAGGAGGAGTTTGGATGTGCTGCCCCCAATTTTTCCATACAAGGTTATACAGTCTGCCCTGCTTACTGGACTCCTTTACCCCTGTGGGAAGTCCTCTCTTCACTGGAAGACCTAGGGCATGGCTAATTACAAGGAATTAAGGCCACTGTTAAAGAGAAACTACCACAAAGTTTGGAAGTGGCCTATTTGTTTCATGAAGGAGAGTTGGCTTAAGAAGTATTTTAGCAGTTGGCAAAACAGAGGGAGAAGAACAGAGGTCAAGGCTTCAGTTTTCCATTCAGTAACATATTCCTATTCGGGACATGTGCTAAAGTACTGTTCTGAATTGAAGCCAAAGAATATCTATCTGCTTTCTTCTGCACAAAGGGTTAAGCCTATCTTTAGGCTGCCTTTTTTTTTGTTTGTTTTCAACTAAATTCTATGAACATTACAGGGAATCTAACAGCTGCATTAAAAAAAAAAAAAAAAGCAGATTAATTCTTCCGACACTGTCCTGAAGAAATCCATCCAGAATATTCGTATCATATGAGCTATTCTGGCTGCTGAGTTTGTTTTTGTGAATCACTAAGATTTTCTTTGTCGCATGGTTTATAAAGGAAAAGACAGAACTGGCAAAAACAGCATGAAAGGAAAAAAAATCTGCATCTTCAGATATTCTTAAGATGAAAGGGATGGCATATATACATTAAAATGCTTCGGATAACTAAAGCTTTCCATCACTATTAGCTGCATTATGATTCTCCATGGAAATGCTTGTAATACAATACAGTAATTATGAGGGTAAAGTCACAGAACAATCACTCCGGAAGAAGAATTAAATCAAGAGACAGAAGACAGTATTTTGGCAAAAGAATCTGTATAGGTATGAAGCAGAGCAACTCGAGTTTGCATGAAGTTTGTTCAGAACTACAGGATGACCTGCTGCTGGCAACGAGAAGCTCCTTGTTTACTTTTGCTCATCACTGTACAGTATGTCACAACAAATACAACCATCTAATCTTAGGGCACCCCATGGTTCGGTGTCTGCAGCTAGCTCATCTATTCATTCATAGTTTTTAATTACCAGCCATATATTGAACATATAACTAATAAAGGCCTAAAAAGTCAGCTGTTACTTAGAGGGTATGATCTAAAAGAAGGCAGCAGATCATAGCTAGCACAGAGGAGTCAGAGGGAGCCATTTACTTCATTTTATAAATTCACATATTTGTGTCCCTGAGCTCATCCTGTTCTAAGGTGTTGGGAAGGAAATAGCATGGGTTGTGTGTTCAAATTACTAGGTCTTGGGGAATGAAAAAGTCCCAAAAGCTGACAATGGCTCAAGTATCTTTGCTGTTATCACTGGGGTTTACCAGCAGTTCTTGATCTACGAAGTACGGCTTCTCTGCGGATCCATCATTTGTTTCCATATCAATAGCAAAGCAAAGGAACATGACATCTGCTGTCACTTCAAACACAGACAGAAAGCTGTGGGACATCACGTATGCAAAAAATCCAACCAGCAACAGAGGAACCACCCAAGCTTGCAACTCCCGATGGTAGTTAAATGCCATCAATCCTCCAAAACCAGTAAAACATACAACAAACACCTGTAAAGGGCAGCGAGAGGGAAATGCAGCCTCATTAATCACGTAGAAATGTTTCTTAAAAAAAACCCAACCACCCAAACCCTAAGGCAAATACATTACAGCCAATATTTTAACAGCACATCTCATCTGGGAGACAGCTATGCAGTTTCTGGGATCACGTAGTTGTCACACTTTTCAACATGTAAATTCTGTAGGGCAGAAGGCAATCTTTTACTAGGTATTTTCCAAAGACTCATTGCAATAGGGAACTGTAACAGTGGCACCAACGACACTACTACAATACAACTAAATAACTCTGTAAAGAAAATAATTGAATTCTGCAAACATTATATTCTCTCCCAAACATATTTTACAGCATTAACAACACTGATTTTAATAAACTCTGTTTACTTTAGGCATAAAAAGAGAATCAAACCCTGTTTTTTCATTTCATTCTTATAGAACCGTACTTTTTTTACTCTTACCTTTCCTAGAAATAGGATAAAATCTCCAAAACAGCTAATGGATGCAAGTTTGGGAGAATTCTTTGCCAAAATAAAGACAGCATCCTTTGCTGATGTACAAAAATTTGTCCCATTTATGGCTGTAGTTGTGTATGCATGCTGAAATTAGAGAAGACAATAATGCAGAAAGAGAGAAAAGACTCCTAACCTAGATTTTAATTCAGCAAAATGCAAAGCCTTAAACTCTATGTAGAAATACTCACTTCATGAATATAGTTATTTTACATAATATGCTAATTTTAGTTTAAATGACTGTTGTAACTATGCTTCTAACTTCAAATAGCCTTTCTACACAATTTCCACATTAGCAAGTGCTAGAATAGTGACTAAATATATTTCTGAACCTCCAACTTCTTTTAAAACACCAAAGTTCTCTACCCTAATTTTTGTTAATGAACACAATTACCAAAAAACACCTACTTACCTGAAGTCACACTATCCAAATTTAATTGCTTATTTTCTGTGAATCTATCTCTGCTGGCAAACAATGTAAGTGGAACAATCAAGTTATATAGTTATCAAGTAATTTAAAAGTTGTTCATTAAAAAGCTTTTATATGTGGCCCCTTCAAACTACTCATATGATACTGAAATTCAAGCTTATGGCTATAGCCATAAAATAAACCTTTTAATGAATGATGAAACCAATTGTGAAAATAACTGGAAAAGAACAGCTAAAGGGTCCTGGACTAGACCAGTGAGTGTTATATCACAAAAAAACCCCCAGAATTTCAACAGACAGTAGGGGTACTCACAGTTTTTTTATGAATTGAGAATTTTACAAGATTTCTCTTCATAGAAATTTGCCAAGACAGGTGGGGAGGACAGAATATTTACCTTCACGGACTGTATTATTTTATCACTTTTTGTGTATAGCTTGACATGTATGTCCCATTTATGGAACTCAATGAGGTTTTGAAACTGTGTCCAAAATATAAGCTAAGAAAAACAGCACTCAAGATACCTGAAATGTATGCTGAACTTTACCAGTCTTATGAATAGTTTTGTATGCTGAACTTTACCAGCAAGTCTTACAAAGTCTTTACTCAAAATATCAGAAGGTGGATTATACCACAAACATCAGTCACATCTGGTACAGTCAGCAAGAACCACAGTGTGCATACTGTTCTGAAGGAATTTATACACCCCAACATGTACTTGGTGCTTAGATTACTTTCTGCTTCACCTGGAAGTGAAAGAAAAACCACTTGGTTTGATGAAAGTGAATTATGCTGACACTGCAAAACACTTCCTGTTCAAAAATCTGTTTTTTCTTACTTACAAATCAAAATGTAAAATAGCTTCAGATATCTGAAGGCAGAGAAAATTTATTTTTACATATTCCAGTTTTACCCCATAGCAATTTCTGTAACATACTGTAGTGTAGCAAAGCTATACTGATATTATCTTAAAATACTACAGAGAAAGAAAGAAATTAAATGCAGAGATCATTTGTCCCCTTATTGGGGATATTATTTATTTTATATATGACAGAGGATTTTTTTTTCTCTGATAGGAAGCAAAAAAAGAGCAGTAAGCAGTGACATCCTCTAAATGTTGTACTTACATAGTAGCAAATACATCCATAGATGAAAAAAATATAAAGACAAACCATGGATTTATTGCCTACTCTAACAAAACCAAAAGACTCCACTGAACTCTACAGAAACATGTAGAGTATCTGCATAAAAATCTGTTTAACAAGAAAGTTCACTTCATTCCTAAATAGGAAAAAATGCTTTCTGTGCTCACTTCATTTATACTGACGCTGTTTCTTTCTCCGGGGAGTACTTGAACAGGCCAGCAGAGAGGTTGCCCCTGCGCTCAGTCAGGCACTGCCTACAATAACTTTACCTTCTTGGTTGCCTACACATCTGCAATAGAAGCATCCTTGTCCTACTCTCCTTCCTCAACCTTGAAAGGTTTGTGAGCATCCTGCCACCATCCTGTGTGAGGAAACTTGATGCCTGCAAGCTTGCCCACTGCAGCAGCAGGCGAGCCAGCAGTTCGGTATGGCCAGCGCTAGCCTGGCTGGGCCACCGTCTCCCCAGGACATGGGCATAGGGTACATGGCCTCAAGTCAAGCTCGCTCTCTGTCTTCTGTCTGTAGCTGTCACTGCATATTTCAAACATGGATAAACCTATCTTTGAAACATGCTGGGAGTTAAGTCTGTTTCATCATTCCCATTAAGAGACAGGAAATTGAGACACAAAGTGGAAAAGAGTTTTCTAAGTTTGTTTCTGTCCCTTAAGAACTAAATTCATACAGCAGATCCTGATCCAGTGAGGTCAGTGAACTTGTAGCAGCTAAAGCATCCTTTGTCCAGCAGTTCACAGTTTATAGACTTACAGTGAGAAGAAATACCATCTTTTTTTCAAGTTTGTCTCCTACTACTTCATGTGGTCCTCCCCCTGCCTAGCTTTTGTTCTGGAAGAAACAGTGAGCTGTCTAACCCTACCTACCCTCTCTGCATTTCTCATGATTTTGTAGCCCTTTACTGCATCCTCCTTCAGTCATCTATTTTCCAGACAGAAGAGCCTGGTGTATTCAGTTGTTCCCCAGACAGAAGACATTCCATACCTTTTGGATCATTCCTGCTGCCCTTCTCTCAAACATTTTCAAGTCCGCTAAGGCTTTTGTGCATGGGAAAAGAGAATATATTCTGTAGAAAAACACACATTTAAATAACCTGTTACTAAATGATAGCAGGTTCTTAACTGACCATGGCCTGCCATCTTAGCCTTTGCAACTATCTTTTCTTTGACAGGAATTGGGTTGTTGCACATACCCTGCAATGGGAAAATTAATGGGATACCTAAGCTTCTTAGTCCAAAACGATTTGCAAATATTGGTAATAGCTTACATGTTCTTTGTATTGAACTTACGTGTTCTTGAACTTACTTCAATATTCTTGAACTTAGGTGTTCTTTGGTGGGTAAGAATGAGAAATCATTTGAGATCATTTCTGTGCAACTCTGAGTTTTGTGTAAAGATACATTTGCTTAAATGTTAGACATGTATTTTGTTAGTTAGAACATGTAGATTTCTATGTGGCTGGGTGGGATCAGGGTATGGGGTCTGTATGGGAAACTTGAGAATAGTGAGGAAATTGTATGGAGCCACAGTCTAGGCTGAACAAGAAACCCTTCAAATACCTTTTTTTTCTTTTTTATTTTTTTTTTTCTCCCTCAGAAATGTATTTTTGCCAAAAGGTAGAGATCACTTGGCTAAGTCCTCCATTTATACTAGTCACATTCTTGCTTCACCTGTGTCAATGACTAGTTTTGTAGCCTTCAGCAGTTCATTCATTTCTTATTACTTCTATGATACTGGATTATTACCTGGCTGCCTTTCTTGCTTGGATGTTATGACTAGTTGATACTTACATGATTTGTTAAAGCTGTAATTGTTATAAATGCCATTTCTTATCAACTGGTTTGTAACATGACAAATCCCTATGAAGGTAGTATTCAGTCTCCAGCATTATTTTCAGTCTTTCCAAGATAACTGTTCTAGTTAATAAATATCAGAAATTCTTTTTGTTGCACATTCCTTGGATGCCAAAGTGGCTAATTCAAGAGTGCAAACAAATGGTTATTTATTTTAAGTTTGGAAACAATGTTTGTACAAGTGCAATGTATTTTCAACATTCTTTTTAATTACTAAAACAGGACATTTTTTGCTATTTATAATGAATACAGAATCTCTGTTTAATTTATTGGCAAAATTTATACTGACCTCACTGGATCAGGATCTGCTGTATGAATTTAGTTCTTAAGGGACAGAAACAAACTTAGAAAACTCTTTTCCACTTTGTGTCTCAATTTCCTGTCTCTTAATGGGAATGATGAAACAGACTTAACTCCCAGCATGTTTCAAAGATAGGTTTATCCATGTTTGAAATATGCAGTGACAGCTACAGACAGAAGACAGAGAGCGAGCTTGACTTGAGGCCATGTACCCTATGCCCATGTCCTGGGGAGACGGTGGCCCAGCCAGGCTAGCGCTGGCCATACCGAACTGCTGGCTCGCCTGCTGCTGCAGTGGGCAAGCTTGCAGGCATCAAGTTTCCTCACACAGGATGGTGGCAGGATGCTCACAAACCTTTCAAGGTTGAGGAAGGAGAGTAGGACAAGGATGCTTCTATTGCAGATGTGTAGGCAACCAAGAAGGTAAAGTTATTGTAGGCAGTGCCTGACTGAGCGCAGGGGCAACCTCTCTGCTGGCCTGTTCAAGTACTCCCCGGAGAAAGAAACAGCGTCAGTATAAATGAAGTGAGCACAGAAAGCATTTTTTCCTATTTAGGAATGAAGTGAACTTTCTTGTTAAACAGATTTTTATGCAGATACTCTACATGTTTCTGTAGAGTTCAGTGGAGTCTTTTGGTTTTGTTAGAGTAGGCAATAAATCCATGGTTTGTCTTTATATTTTTTTCATCTATGGATGTATTTGCTACTATGTAAGTACAACATTTAGAGGATGTCACTGCTTACTGCTCTTTTTTTGCTTCCTATCAGAGAAAAAAAAATCCTCTGTCATATATAAAATAAATAATATCCCCAATAAGGGGACAAATGATCTCTGCATTTAATTTCTTTC